GCCGGTTACATAATATTAATGATCAATGCAATGGTGACTATGAACAATCAGTGTTGATACATGTACTGTATGTATAATCAATACTTTTTTGAATACTATTTTTTATGGCATATATGTGTTTACTTTTCAATTCTCATTCTCACTACCATCATCATTATCTTGACCATCATCTCCACTGCCTTCAATGTATCGAAACAAACTCTGAGCAACTGGATGATCTTGATCAATTTGCCAAGTCAGACAGCGAATGCTACCTCCAAGAACAGCAAGTTTTCCAGCACTATGCACAGGTACAACCTCTTTGTCTGTGGAACTCTTGAAGACATCAAAGGCTTTTTGATTACTTGTTTGGTTTGAAAAGAAAGGTAGATAAACTGCATTGTATGTCACCAGAGAGTTTGCATAGGAACCTTCAGCTGATGTAAAGCCACGGTACTTTTTATTCACCATATAGCAAGGTAATGGTATAGCTTGTATGCTTGGGCATTCCTTCTTGACTTCATTTTCAACTTCATGAAGGTATTCTTGGCCATCTGGATCAGGATATGAAGCTATAAGCAGAACATCTTTTTCAACAAATGACACAGTACCATCAGAGTGTCCTGTGGAATCCTCTGGATCTGGTGTGAACACTACCTTTCTTTTGATAGCAGATTCTAAGGCTTTCACCACATTATCTTCGCTTTTTCCCTTGTTTTCCTTAAAAACTCTGTCAGTTACAACTGCACAGTCTACTCCATTTTCTACAATGTTTCCTCCTTCAAGAACAAGATTGCAATGTTCCAGAGAGGGTAATCCAACTTGGGTGGCAAATTTTTCAAATGCTTGAGTGACTCTCTTTGCTTCAGATGACTTGATATATCCTGGTCTGTACTTAAACTTGATTTGAAGTTTTGGCATTGTTGGAGGGGAATCTCTCATCCACAGATCCAAATATTGGTCCACCTCAATCAGATGAGCATTCTTAAACTCATGGCGGTTAAGATACCATCTGCCTGATTTGTCATGGATAATGAAGAGATGGTCTCTACCATTTGTCTTCTCATCCATTTCTATGAAAAACTTGACTATATCTCTAAGATATTCATAATACTGACCATCACTTTCTCCAGGAAGGGACACAACTATCACTTGCTTCTTTTTTTCCATTCTGAAATTGGATAAGATTTTTTTTAGCATTAATGATAAACTGGGATTTAAAAWTTTTTACAGTAACCTAAATTTTGACTGTTAATTTTCCCATTTTAGACCACATAGGGTATTGTCATATTCCTTAAAAAATGGTAATTTCTTTTCTCAAAAGGCACAAATCTCCCTGTATTTTCAGAGAGGGTGAACAAAAGAAATAATGTTCAATAGAATAAATAGGGGGAGGGGGATGACATAAAAGTAATTTATAAAATTACATTCCGTCCATTGAAAGAATACAAAAATTAGATGTATACTATACTAGCTCCTGTTAAGGCATAACAACCAGAATTACTAGAATTATTTATAATATTGGTTTAATATTAGTTTAATAACTTGTAAAAAACTAATAATTACATAGTTACTTGCCTAAAGGGGGAGTGTGTGTGTATGCCGGGGGGGGGGGGGGGGGGG